GCCAACCATAAACATTTCTTGTGCGAACAAATTCTCGTGCATATTGTGCGTATTTTGTAATATGTAAATCATATGGAACTTCAGCTTCTTGAAGTAACGGAGCAGATTTAGTTTGGAATAACTCCCTAGCTTTCCCCGGCCCAGATTTAGGGTTAAGCAAGATAAGCAATTTCTTATCATTCTGGGGGATAACCGTTGTTATAGACTGGTTGGCTATCAAACACTTAATACTAGTTCTCCATTTTTGTGCCTCTTTGTAATTATCTTCATATTTATCGTAGGAGCGGAACCTTAATGTTATTGTTGTCCTTTCCCTTTTTAAAGTGCGACGACTTCGCTTCAAGGTGTAAGCGAAAATATATAGATAAGCGCTAATGTCACTTTCATCTAGGTCTCCGCTATTTTCATCTACTACTTTTAGCTGCTGAGGACCCACCAGAGAACTACAGACGCAGGAACCAGCTCCTGCTCGGCGTCGCTTGCTTCTCATACACTTACTGCCAATGATGTCTCGTAAAAGAATCGTTTGTTCTTTAGAACTATCATCGGTTTCTTTTATCAATGACAGTCCTTTAGATGTTAGTCGAACTCGAAACACAGACTTCTTCTTGGACAGAATGTAAAACGTCTCTTCAAGATAAACTTGTTCTTTACAATCAACATTTTCTTTCTCAATTGTGTTGGGTACGTCCTTTCCTAACATTGGTTCCGCCATAACTAATTTGACAAATAACTGACTGTTTATTTATTGTCCACATGGATTTTCACAATTGCCATCATCGAAAACATTGTATTAAAAAACAATGTTAAATCCAGCACAACAAAGGCAATAAATACGAAAAAAGCAGCGTAACTCAACTTATGTTACGTTTTTTACATAATTAAATTTTTACAACGTTATTTTATCCATTAATCCTCAAAACGAACTACTTGGGAAACAAATTCACTTTAATATATAGCAACTCTAAAATACTTCAGCTGTTACGCTGTCACTGTCACAACGTTAACGTCAACGAAGACGTGTTTATTGTTTACTTATTTTAAGAATTTAGTAAAAATCAAAGTGATGTAATCATAATGCTGCTGTATTAAACACAATCTTTTATTGTCATAAGCTTATAGACCTAAATTTCCATAAAAAAAACATCATTTGACTACATATGATAGTCTATAAATTTTAAGGTTAAAGCTGTGGAGTATATTTTACAATGAAGCACAGAATTTTAGAACTATACAGCGGTATTGGAGGAATGCACTGTGCTTGGAATGGTAAATAAACGTTTTTACTGTGTAAAATGTTAAGTTGTCAACACTTTAATCGTATTTAAATTTCAGAATCGAAACTAGATGGCGAGATAGTTGCAGCTGTTGATATTAACACAGTAGCAAATGAAGTTTACCTATACAACTTTCCCGAGTCAAATTTGATGACCAGAAATATCCAAGCTTTAAGTATTGAAGAGTTAACTAATATGAATGTTGACACAATACTAATGTCGCCACCATGCCAACCATTTACTAGAAATGGTAAATACTTAGACGAAAATGACCCCAGAACTAATTCTTTTCTATATATAATAAACACACTTGACAAATTTGACAAACTCCAGTACATATTAATGGAAAATGTAAAAGGTTTTGAGATTTCAACAGTAAGAAATCTATTCATAGACAAATTGCTCCAATGTCAATTTGACTACCAAGAGTTTCTCTTATGTCCTTCTAATGTTGGAGTTCCAAATTCTAGACTCAGATATTACTGCATTGCAAGGAAAACAACTTCAATATGGACTTTTAAAAGAAAATCTGAAATAGTAAGTATTATTTACATTTTTTAATTAATAGTTTTAATTTTCATTGTACAAATATTTACTTATTTACAGATGACATCACTACCAAAAGACTATGGGGCTCCAGACTCAATAGAAAGTATGATAGAAAATAATGTATCAGACAAATTTCTTGTTAAAAATAATATACTGAAGCGTGGAAATGTATTAGATATCATTCAAAAAGAATCAAAAAGATCATGTTGCTTTACCAAAGCTTACTCTCATTATGCGGAAGGCACTGGATCTGTGTATACAGAAGAAAGTCCAGAAGTTGTAAAGAAATGTTTCATAAAAGCTAATAAATTTGAAGTAGGTAGTGACAATTTTATAGAAACACTAAAGGAACTAAATTTAAGATATTTTACACCCAAAGAAGTATCATTGTTAATGTCCTTTCCTTCAACTTATAAGTTTCCAGAAACAATATCTATGAAACAATGTTACAGACTTCTTGGTAATAGCATTAATGTGAAAGTAGTTAGTGAATTATTAAAACTGTTATTTAATTAAAATATATTCTATATTTGTTATAGAATCTTATTCAAATATATTTTTGTTAAGTGGTCACATGTATAGGGGATGTCGTCATTTATATTAAACAATTCAGTATCAGGAAATTGAGTTTGATTTCATTTGAAAATATAGTATTCTAATCTGACTTGAAGTTTGTTTTATAATGATCCATTAGCCAGCACTTGTCTTGCTCTTCTCTTAGCTCTATGGTTCAAAACTCGCATCCGTAACATAACAGCTATAGAGGAGATTGTCCCCAACACAAATGACCAAATGGTGAATTTCCAAAATGCTCTCTCTTCTAAATATGCAACACGATCACAGCTGAAAATAATAAAATAAATAATATAAAATATTTGATTTTTATTAGTATTTACCCTGACAAAAATGATTATTATGTCCCATTATTGTTTGTTTTCATTGACAATCTAGATACTAAACCAATTTTGTTGAGTAAGATGACATTAAATTTGTCTTCTCCCTCTGAGGATTATAAGACACCAGTCAGTCAAACTTTTTGTATTTTTTTAGTAACAAATAGAGTTATTTATTTACCTTCTGGTTACCGTTTCACCATTTTCGCATTTCAAAATTTCCTTAAAGCTTGTATGAATGCAAACTCCTATGCTTTTACTTCTGATTTCAAACTCTAAAAAAAAAATTTAAAAGATAAAGTGGAAGAATGTTGCTTTAGTATCACTTGTTTCAACTGTTTAGTATGTTTATGTAATGTGATTCCGTTTTAGTCTTATTGTATCCTATCAGCACAATATTTCTACCTGAACAAGGATGGCATTCATTGATAATTTTATAAGGCTGGTGCATCCAGCAAGTAGAATTATTTTCAGAAGGAAATGTTTTATTCTTCATTCTACTACTTCCAGATAATGTGTCAGCCAAGTGCGATTCCAAAATTAGGATTACGAGAGTCAATCTGTAAAATACAATTGCGTAATGTAAAATTATGATTCATAAACATAAAAATGCTTTTGTATTTATTTTTCAATACTTTACTATTTTACGTACATTCCTAAAGATACTGTTCCTAACAACATGCATTTTTTCGAACATGTTTCTATCATTGTCTTCGATGTTTGTTTCGATTATAAACTGATGAGTCCAACGTCGTAATTCTTCTGGCCTAATTTTCTGTAATCAAGAAAACTGTTGCCTCGATCACTGTTTAATGAACTAGTGTCGATTATTCAGAGCAGTTTCATTTAGTATATCCTGGAATTACAATCTATTCATATTTATCAGTTTTTTTTAAGAAAATCACCAACAAAACACCTATCCAACTTGACTTTGACAGGAACGTGGAATGTCAAAATTGACAACAGTCAAAATATTTTCAATGTTTTCATAATTAAAAACAAAAAACCCTACCTTTGTAAAAGATAAGATGGGTTTTATAAAAATATTTTGCAATTTGCTCGCAGAAGATAATACAATACAAAAAATGTGCATTCCAGTAAATCATTAATTTTGTTAGATGCGCTACATAGTTATTTATAAGTTTGGTGAGTGATTTTAAGTGCGGTTAAAATAATACAAAAGTGTAGTGAATTTTTGCAGTGTTCACGTTTATGAATCTTAAATTAATGGCATGTGGGTAGTTTTAACATGTTAACGTAAAGGAGGTTTTATGGCGTTCATCAAAAATATTTAATAAAGTATGGCAATATTAATTTGTAAATAAATCTGCAAAAATGGCATATTTTAAGCGCCATGTTTGTTGAAAACGTAAACGGAATAGAAAGCGGTGTTTTTTTTTGTTTAGACACTTAGCTGAAGTGTAATGTACTCTGTGATAAGAGTTATGTAAAAAAACTCCAAACAGTTTTGTTTTGTTCTAATTTGAGTTTAAAACCAAATTAAAATGGCTCTACCCAACGAGACATTAAGATCTTTTCACCTTTATGTGACCCATGTGGATGGCGAGGGTCATTTCCTGAAGATCAGTGGTCAGCTCGACCAGCCTTCTTCGTTGATGATAGAGAGTTTGTTCGATGGTGCTCGAGAAAGTTTGGAAAAAGGAGTGGGTGCCGTCCCACCGGCTGTAATAACCGAAGGTATTATTTGTGCCGCGAAATACAAAGATGGTAAATTTTATAGAGCTAAGATTATTAATATAACTAACCTTGCCACTGGATTGGTCGGTGTACATTTCATAGATTATGGAAATAAGGATATAATCTCTGTGAGCACTATTAGATTTTTAGATACCTACGATCCGTTGTTCTTACAAATGCGTGGGCAGTCTTCGGACTATTATTTATCTCGTGTAATGCATCCGTCAGGAAGGTGGGAAGAACCCTTACTACTAAAACTTCAAAGCTTACTTTGCAATGCAGAATATCCTGCTACAACAGAACTAAACACCCGGACTTTACCTATAATATCAATACAATTTAAAGGGAATGATTTATCTTCTCATCTTGTTACAAATAGGTTTGGTATAGCCCTGCCTCTAGTTAAACAAGAAGCATTGTTGTTACAACTGTTAGAAAAACAGCAAATGTCCAATTGGCAACCAACATTTTTGAATGAAAGTCACTTTTCGGAACATGTTCCATTTCTGATAAATCAAAACTTTCCAAATCCAGCATCAGCTATGCGTTTAAACCAAGGTATGTCATTGCCCATTAATGGAAGTTTTGTTCCTCCACCTATAAATCAAAGATTATTAATTAACAAAGTCCCAAGAAACCATGCCAATTTAAAAGCTCCGATTCGTCAACCACATACTGCTGCAGCGTTGTCTCCTGCCTTGCCTGTGTCTGATCAGCCCTCACCAGTAGCTGCCTCCAAACCTCCATCACCAAAGAAGTCTATAACATATAAAAGTCGGCTACTGGAAGTTAACTCACAACATAAGGTGTTTGTCTCATTTGCTGAAGAGGGCCCAGAGCTATTTGCCGTCCAACTTGTGAGTGATGCAAAGAAATTACAAGACATGATGGATGAAATAAATAAAAGACCTCACAGCAGCCTTAAAGAACCCCCAATGATTGGGACAGTGTGCTTAGGTAGGATGTCAGGAGACAGAATTATATGCAGAGCAATTGTAATGAATCTATCTGGTTCTCAATGTAAATTATTCTTTGTTGATTTTGGTGATACAGAGATGGTCTCATACTATGACATATTTGATATACCTGAAGAGTTTGTGAAGCCAAATGTATTTGCTTTGAGATTCTGTCTGTCACAAGTAAAGAAGTTGGAGAAGGGTCCTTATTTGAATGAAACTTTTAAACAGCTTGTTAATGGCAAAGTATTAACATTGAAAGTGGTATCACCTGAAGGACCTCCTCTTATTCAGTATGGTGAGCTATTCTTGGATAACAAAAATGTTCTAGACTTGCTCACAGCAAACATGAAAGACCAGTTACAGTTCAAATGGGTAGACTTGCTACCACTGGGCAACCGTAGATCTGTATTAGTTTCATATGTAGACAGTTGCTTAAAGTTCTATGTTCAGCTATCAGATAAGATTGATGAGTTGAATGCAGTTATGGAAGCTGTGAAAGCCCATTGTGAGAGTAAATCATCACCCGGTGAGTTGCCAGTAGGTGCAGCTTGCTGTGCCAGGTTCCCTGATGATGACAACTGGTACAGAGCTAGAGTGAAAGACACAAAAGGTAACAAAGTCATAGTAACTTATGTGGATTATGGGAATGAGCAGGAAGTTAATGTATCAGACTTGAGAACCATAACACCAGATCTAATAAGACTGCCAGCACAAGCACTAAAGTGTGCTCTAAAGGTATGTTAATATCTAAAGCTAATAAACCACACTAGAAACATCTTGACCATTAATGCAATTGTGTCAACAATCATATTAAAAGGGAAATATTAATACCCTCTTTAGTTTAGTATTTCCCACTAAAGTTTCTACAACTAAGTGACAGTTTTATTAAAAGGTTATAGTATAAAAAAACAAAGAGTTTTAATATGTTTATTATTTATTCTCTATTGTTTTGCATCTTATTTGCCATCTGTTGTTATGTTGTGATTATTCAAAATGTTCTTTTTTGTCTTAGGGTTATGAGAATAAAGCAATTGAGACCAAAACATCAAACCAGTTGGAAATGTTGGCTTTGGAGAAGACATTAATGGCACACATAGTTGGAATGCTGTCAAGTGACACAATGCTTGTCACTTTAGTTGACGACACTGTCACACCTCCGCTGGATGTGGCACGTAGGATGAATCAGCTATCACAGCCTAGAAGTGTTGAGGTAAGAATAAATAATACCATAGTAATCATGTGTGAGTTTAACAAATAGTGGTGAATGTAAAATATAGTTTATCTCTTTTTATTATACTAAAAGTAGTCGTACTTGTACAAAATTTAATCTTTACGTAATAAATAAATAATAAATACCCTAAAGATTCAGGATATCCAATCGCATTGTCGAGGGACCAGAACCCACCAGAGAATGGTACAAAAATATTAGTAAACTAGCTTTCGCCCGCGACTTCGATCTCGTGGAATTAAAAAACACACAAGTGTAGCCTATGTGTTCTTCCAGACTATCATCTACATCTGTTTAAATTACAAACTCTAACACACAAACATCCATCCATCCAAACGTTCGCATTTATAATATTAGTTGATTAAGAAAAATGTGATATTTTGATTACAAAGAGGTATATGAAACTATTTACGTACGAGCTGTTGCCCGCGACTTCGTCCGCGTGGCATTAGTAAACATACGAGCTATATAAATTACAAAAAGCTACGTATCCCTCGAGAACCGGACACTTATCGGGGATGAAGCTTATCCTATGTGTACTCCAGACTTTGTTTTATATCTGTGCCAAAATTCAATAAGATATGTTGAACCGTCGCAGAATGATCGAGTAAACATTAAAAAACTAAATTAATGAATCGAACGGGAACCGTAACTATTCCCGGGATAAAAAGTAGCCTATGTGTTCTTCCAGACTATGCTCTAAATCTGTACCAAATTTCATGGAGATCCATTCAGCCGCTTAGGCTACAAACGCTAACAAACATCAATCTATCCATCCATCCATCCATCGCATTTCGCATTTATAATATTAGTAATATTAGTAAGATTACCACTGGGTTGCCTGTAAGAGATTGCCGATAGCAATACAGCCTCCCTTGTGTAAATATTATAGTAGCTTAATATTAGTAAATCTGACAATGAAACCCAATTGGTGTCATTGTCAGATGATTGTTGTGCACTATTTGACTAATGTAGTTAATGTGACAACCATAGAAGTGCAATGACAAGTGAACAATACACTTAGTGTTACAGAGGCCATAAGCATTCATAATTGAATGAACTCGGCTATGTCTTACGATTATTATAAAAGCAAAAGTTTAGTTGTATGTTTGTTACTTTGTAGCGTAAACTGCTGAATGTGTATGAAATTTGGCATAGATGTAGATGATAGCCTGAAAGAATACATAAACTACATTTGTTTTTTTTATTCTAATTAGACATGGACAAAGATGCAAATGCTATATGAATATGAAATAGATTTATTCAAATGATTTTGGACATTATATTACCAATGAATTGCTAGACAACTAGACTCTTGTATGAAAAATAAAATTTACAGATTTATGTAAGATGGTGATTATTTATTTCTTTAACAATAAAATAGATGTACAATATATTGACCTCATTTACATTATCATTATGAGATTATCTGTGTAAGTCATGAGGGCAATTGGTTTAAAAAAAGCCTATCCAGTTAATACCAGTTTCGATTCATAAAAATGATTAAAATTAACTTTTTTATCAGGCTAAAGCAACGACACCTGTCCGTGCCGATCCGCCGGAGAACTTCAGTTCCCCAGACAGCGTGTCTGATGACGGCAGGAAAAAGAACTATCGCCGGGAGAAGAGTTTCAAAGAAGATCGTAGACCGCCGAAAGAAGGAAACGAAGAATTTGGACAGAGAGGAAGCAGCTTTAGGGGAAGGTATTTAGACTTTTAGAAGCATAAACGGAAATTCTTTTTGTACTTTTGTAATTAATAAACTCAAAAACTACTGCACCTTTCAAAACTTCTTTGCTAAAGATAGCTACATTATCTTAGAGTACCATAGACCGTGTTTATTTCTTTTTTTTTTCAATTTACGCGCGAACTCTCTCGTGGATGAAATCTGTATTTAGTATTGTTATTTGTATATCAGTTAATTTTCGTACGTCAAGATCCTTTTTCGTGTTATTTATTTATAACTCGAGTGTTTACAAGCAAAATTTAGTTTGTGTTAATATGTACCTAATGTCTGTTTCATGTTTGATCGCGCGTGTCGTTGCTAAATCGAACGGTAGTGAAACTTTCTAAACAATCTTTTCGTAGAATACAACAGACTGCATTGTTCCTTTCGCTGAAATCTTTTGAATGCATTTGTAATTTCTTGAAGATTTCTATATTTGCCTATATGCGATAACTTTGCGGTTTAGGATAGATGAAGTTGACGATTTTGTGTAGTATAAGTGATTTTTTTTTGTTCTTTACTTATTTCCTACTATACTATTTGTTTTCAGATAATAGCTATCCTATCTGAAATCTTAGTTCTATTCTTAATTATACTAATCTTATAAAAGCGAATGAATGGATGGATGATTTTTACCACCTATCTCCAAAACGGATTAACGGATCTCGATGAAAGGCACAGATGTAGAATTTTGGAAGTTTACGAATACGGGCAGAACCTAGTATAGTTACAGTAGTCAAAGACATACGAAATCTCAAGACTTTTAATACTTTATCTCACTTTAGATAAAGATAAAAAAATCGGTCAAAATATCAGATAAAACGTAAGCAAAGCTTGTATTACACAAGATTCAGTTTACAAGTGGCTAGATATCTTCTGGTCAATTCAAATGTTTTTATATTGTTTAGAATACAGAGATAGACATATCAGTTATATAGTCTATATTTAGATCTGTATTTGTTGAAAATGTTCGTTTAAAGTGTATTTGTAAATTGCGATGATACAATACTATTATAATAATCTACAAACATAGATTTTGAAGTTTAAAATAATAAACAGCTGGTTGAATTCGATGTGAAAACTACATTTAAAACAATGGTCGTTCATTGCAATTCTCATTTACATAACGATAAAGATATATTATTTATTCCCAGATATTTTTGCAATGCAGATGATGATGATCAATTTATTATACTTTTATTTTCTTGCAGACGTTTTCAGATTTTTAATCAAAGAATTTGATTTACTCTTAATTATATTTTAAGTCAGTTTTAACATTCGTGTCTTAAGATCTGAAGATCCATATAAATGACTAGCTGTTTCTCGCGTCGTCGTCCGCGCGGAAATAAATATTGTAATCAATATAGCCTATGTTACTCAGTAATTTGGTAGCTATTCATTGGTGAAGGAATTTTTGAAATCGGCCCAGCAGTTTTTGAGTTATACCAATACATAAAAAAATACAAATCTCCTCTTTATAATATTAGTATAGATATCTGGTGTAATATATACGCCGCAGATGATATTATATATCAAAGCTGTCTTGAAAAATAGCGCAGATTATAGAATAGTTTAATTGAGAAAATTTTATCAAAGTACCCTATATTTTTAATTTATTTTCAAGATATAAATTGAACAAACCTCATAGCCAACGTTATACCTGAATTCGGAGCAAAAAATAACAATATAACAGATTCATGGCTACTTCGACCTTCGTTTGGGTTCTTTGAACTCATTGCACGCGACTTTTTAGTTGTTACGTGATTTCATACTCATAAGATGTATAGGTAACTGCCTCCGATATTATTTTAGATTATAAATAAACTACTATGTGTTTATGATATGTGTTTATTCGCGTGTGTTAAAAAGTGTCTTTTATAACAGGGAACATAAAGATGGCTTCGATCGGTCCGGACCAGGACGGCATAGCGACAAGTTTGGCGGGAAACCAGATAGAGGGGACAGGTTTGTTACAAAAATTATAATTGTATACTAGCTGTTGCCCGCTGCTTTTCCACGCAATATTAAGATAAAAAATATTATATACCCATCTATGTCAGCTACCCTTCAGTGAAAGTGGGGTCGAAATTTGCCCAGCCGTATCGGAGATTACCCGGAACAAACGCGGCTTGCGAATAGGCAGACAAAAATTTTTAAATGCCATTTTCGTTATCAGCAACGCAAATACATCATCTTCTGAAAAAATCTGTATTTTTTCTTTTGATATTACAAACAGACACTCCAATTTTATTATATGTACATATAGATAGATAGAAGAAGATAGAATAGATAGCTAGATTAACAAAAAAACCCTTTTATATGTAAAAATAAAAATAAAAAATTACTTATAGTATTTTATTACATTTCCTAGTTATAATACTACTTAAAACTTTCTAATATTATATGCAAAATGTTCTTAATAATAGGTACAGTTTGTATTTGAATAATGACTCACCTTTGAAAGTTATAATGACTTCTAAACATGCTAATAAATGAATCATAATTTTACAGTTACTTTATCTTACGCATGCGATAATGTACCGTGTGAACATAAACATTCAGTCTATTTTAAAACACATGTGTCTTTCTTTGATGTTTAATTTTGTTAAAAGCAGTTTATATAGTATTTTAACGCGCCATTCATTTTTATATCTGTCTGATTACGTAAGTTTTCGATATTAACAGAAAAACTGCTAAACTGCTTGCCTTATTTCAGTAAATTTGTGCCTTTTTATTTTAGAATTCTATTTGTGGGTGTGGCTCTAAACTAAATATAAATAATAAGCTTTTTAATAGAACTTTGAGGTTTAGTTAATGTTTTTTACTCTAGACGTGGTAAACCTCGTGAGAACCACGTGGTGTCGCCGAGCCAGCCGACTGATAACTGGGATGAAGGTGCCGCGGCCGCGCACCCTCAGCCCCAACAACCCTCGCAGCCCTCGCACCCCCAGCACCAGCAACCCGCCTTCCAGCCACGACAGAACAATAGGGAGTATCAAAGGTTAGTACCATGTTGTAAGGTTTGGTGCCTGTCCCACCACTGGCTGATAAAGGCTCAGATAGCTTAAAAATGACGTCCGATATTTCCATCACATTTTTACACATTGGATTATCAGACAATTTAAAATTTGGTGGGACAGACCCTAATTATTATATTATAGGAATTAATTTGTGTTTCTAAATAGTAATAAATAGGAATCCTATGTTCTTATTACTTTTTAGTTAATGAAATCTATTTTTGTGTACAAGTTAACTTAAGATGAAAATGCTCTTCCTTCGGTTATTAACTGGCTTGGTTATATTGAATGTTTTTGTATGAATAAGTATATTATTTTATTTTTAAATTTTAGTCAATATAGTAACTTAAAGTAAGTTTAAATGTCAATTAGTAATATCAGTAAGGTTAAAATAATTAGGAAACTAAACAATGTGAACGTGCACAGAAGAAAACCTAGATCGGATCAGGAGAAAACGAATCCGAAATCGGGATGGAAGGGGAAAGAGTCCG